TTGTTTCAGGCATCATGATCAGTAGAGATCAAAATGCTCCCAAGTCCCTGAGCACAAAATGAAAGAGAATTAAAGCCACACAGGCCACATTTGCAGTGCTCAAACACAGCCCTGTTGCTGGTGCTGCTGAAATAGAATCAAGTGACAGAGGCCATCACAGAATTTGCTTCTGCAGTGGCAAATAAAATGAAGAAATCCACCAGAAGAAAGAAAAACCAAAACTTCTCACTTCATTGTTTCTTCCAAGCAGCAGCAGAAAGTGGAGATGCCCAGAGATGTTTCCAGCTGCTGCTGATGCCAGCTGGAGCCCAGCCTGCTGCCCAGTCCCAGCAGGAACCTGAGCCCAGCCCGCAGTGTCGGGAGCTCAGCGCACGCGGGCCAGGCCCAGAGCCCCGGGCACGGCCGCCCATTGCGGGGCAGCACCACAAACGGAATGTCCTGCGGCCCAAACCTCCTGCTCCTGCCACACAGCTCCCATCCTTCTACCCCTCCTCCTCTCCCGGCACAGCACAAATTCCAGCTCAGAGGAGGCTTCCCAAGAGAGGGCTCCGGCTCCTGTTTCAGCCTGAGTGTCCCTGCAGAGGAACAGGGCAGCTTTCAGGCAGTTCCACAAGCTCCAGGTTCTCATTTCCTGGGGAATCTGCAATGCAAATAGCCTTGCTAAAAAGGACAAAACCAAAGGGAATGAATTGGGAATTATTAGGAAAAAATGACCCTTCTTACACACAAAGCTCACCAAGTCATTCCCTGCATTTCTCCTTTTCACATTCTTTCTGTCATCCACTGAGAGGTCCAGCTTATCATGTTCTGGTGCTTATCATCAGCTGATTGTGCTCTTGATTTGTGCAAGAGATGTAGAATCATCTAAACTGAACACAGAAAAAAATTCCCTCTGTCAGCCCATTTTCATGTTCCAGATCACTTTGAAGATGTACATGGGGCTATTGGAATGATTAGCTCTCCACTGCTGGCTGCAGGCTCTGGAGATTCTTTCTCCACATTCAGCCATTCTTGTATTCCCCAACAATTCCTGGTACCTCATCATGTTTTCTTTGTGTAGAAGAGTAACAATGCAAACCCTGCCAATGGCACAACTCCCCAGTACACAAGGAAAAGAAAGAACAAGTTGTCAAGTGCTTCAAATATTTGTCCTGCTTTGCTGCAAGAGTTGTGCTGCAGTCACAGTGTGGGAAGCCAAGAGAAGCTGCAGCTGGGGACACATCTTGTGACAGGAGCTGTGCCTTGTTCTCCAGAACAGGTTTTTGGAAAGAACAGACAGGACTGTGGAGAAGATTCTGGGAAAATGGAAACAGCTTTTTTAAGAAATGAAAATAAAATCAAAAGAAACAACCAATATGTTTTTCTCTATTTTTCTCTATTTATTTTTATGTTTCCCTTTTCCATCTTGCACTGTTTCTCCATCCCATTCATTCCAAATGGATCTCACCTCTAAGATCTGAGACTTGGCAAGTTTTAGACACTGTAAAATACCATGAGCTATACTCAGTTTGCCTTCCCCTGTTTTACTTGGAGAGCAATGCTGGAGACACAAGTGCAGTGCTTGGGTCAGGTACAAATTCTGCATTCAGGGAATGTGCTCAGACGGTGTCTGACCCTCAGCAGGGACAAGGCACAGCAGCAACCAAGGGCATTCCTGTGCCCCTGTGCAGGAGTCAAGACTCTGGCTCTTGGCTCAACACGGCCAAGTTCCCGTGTTTGGCCAGGCTCAGGGGCTGCCCGGGGAGTGCGGGGCTCGGGTCGGGGCCGAGCGGGCAACGGACAAACGGACACGGGGACAAACGGCCCCGGTGCTTCAGTTGCAGCGGCGGCAGCAGCGGCAGCAGACAAAAAGCAAATTACTCGACTCCGTTGATTCTCCTCTCCCTCTCCCACTGTCCCACACCCCATCCCCGTCGCCCTTTCCCGGTGTCCCCTCCTCTCTCAGTCTCCCTCTCCCCGTGCCTGCCTGGGCCATGCCCCTGGCCCACCCCCGGCGCCGGGCGGGGCTGCCCTGGCCCTGGCCGTGCCCTTGCCCCCGGTCGTCCTGCCGTGGTCTCACCTCCGCCCAGCTTCGGCTGTGCTGGCGCTGGAGCTGCTGGGCAGGCATCTGTGCCTGGGGCTGGGGCGACATCGCTGCCCTTTGGCTCTGCCTGGCCCTACCTCGGCTCCAGCCTCGACCTAGGCTCCGATTCCAGTTCCGGCCCCGACCCCGGAGCCCACAGAGGACATATGTGGTGCGGCCGCTGCCGCCACCTCCGCTGTGGCTTCCCCGGCCCGAGCTCCGCCGCTCAGCAGCGCGGCCGCTGGCCCCGAGCCGCCGCTGCCGCGTTCCAATGAGGGAACGCCTGCGGATGCCCGGCCCGGGGAGGTCGGGGAGCGCTCGGGGGCCGTTTCTGGCCCCGGGCCGAGCACTGACAGCTGCGTCTCTTCCCCAGGAAAGGCGCAGGAGGCCCTGCAGGAGCGGTACCAAGTGGGTTCACTGCTGGGGCTTGGAGGCTTCGGCAGAGTTTTCGCGGCCACTTGACTCTTGGACGGCACCCCGGTGAGAGGCGTGGCTGGCAGCGGGCGGAGGAGGTGGAGGAGGAGAAGGGGGCGGTGGAGTAGTAGAGGTAGGCGGTGAGCTGAATTCGCTGTTCCCTTTGGCTTGCAGGTGGCCATCAAAAAGGTGCCACAGAACCGCGTCCGGCACTGGGGTGAGCTGGTGAGTGAGCGGGGCCAGCGGCAGAAGCCGGGGAGTGCCGTGCAGGGATGAGCCAGGGCCCAGCAGGGTGGGAGCCGCCAGGACTCCTGGAGGGAGAGTGGGCATGGGGCCAGCGCAGGGTGCAGAGCATCCCGGGCTGGCTGAGGGCTTCCCGAGCCCTGGCACGGCCTCAGCCCCACTGATGGCACTGTGCTCCTCCCGCAGCCTGACAGCACCAGCGCACCACTGGAGATAGTGCTGCTGGACAAGGTGTCCACAGGCTTCCCTGGTGTGGTGCAGCTGCTGGAATGGCTTGAACTCCCCAACGCCATCGTGATGGTGTTGGAGCGCCCAGAGCAGTGTCAGGACCTGCGGTGTTTCATCCGGGCACGAAGGTTCCTGTCCGAGGAAGAGGCACAGGAGCTGTTCTGGCAGGTGCTGGAGGCCGTGCAGCACTGCACCAGCTGTGGGGTCCTGCACCGCGACATCAAACCAGAGAACATCCTGGTTGACCTGGACACCGGCCAGGCAAAATTGATCGATTTTGGCTGTGGCACCTACCTTCAGGAGACAGCCTACACTCAATTTGTAGGTGAGCCCACACAGGGGTAGGCTCCTGGTCCCGGCATCTCCTGGCCCAACATCTCCTGGCCCAACCTGGGTGTGGCAGGAGGGATTCTCCCTTTTGCTGCCAGTCAACGGACTGAGTCTTCAGCCAAGTTTCTTTTGAGCCAGGCTGGGTGGGGATCCATCTTCCAACCCTGCTGGCAGCCATTGCCTGCCACTCTGCCCAGTACTAGGGTTGGGGATGGGGCAGCCAGCCTGACAAAACCCCCACGGGTGGGGGTAGCAGAGAGGGGGAGCCAGAACATGTGCACCATCTGGTTTGGTGTGCAGGTGAGATTGGGCTTGGACTGCTGTGCTTCCCTGGTTTGCCTTGGTTCATAATATTTTTTGGGCAATGCCAGCAGGGAGGATGTGGGTATGGTTTTTCCCTAGCACTGAGTGGGTATTTCCCTTTGTGTGTCATGGTTGGGCCTTGCCAGGCTTTCTGCTGCCCTCTTCCAACACCAGTGGCTTCTTTTTCAACCCCAAGTTTGTACCCAAGTCCCGGATGCTGGCGAGAGGGCAGTGGGTCACCCATGTGCCACTGTGGCAGCCCCTGCGTGCCCAGGGATGCTGGGGTCAGGCTCTGGGAGCAGCAGCATCACCCTGATGAGCTCTATCCGTATTCCATAGGAACCCTGTCATACAGCCCCCTGGAATGGACCGACTTCGGGTGGTACCATAGCGAGGCAGTGACCGTCTGGTCCCTGTGCATCCTGCTGCACAAGATGGTCTGCGGGAAGCACCCTTTCAGGAGGGGCAGGAACATCAGCTGGGGCCAGCTCCTGCTGCCACAACAGCTCTCCCAAGGTGGATCCTCATCTCTGGGCATAGGGGGAACACCAGTGTTGGGAGGCAGCAGCGGGCTCGTGAGCATCCCGCTCTGGCAGCTGCTGAGGAGGTGGCACATGTCCTGCTCTCCTGCTCTACTCCAAAACAAAGAATTGATGGGAAAGTTTAGGCCCAGCTCTGAGCACATCCAGCATGGCCTGGGCACGGGAATAGTGAGGCAAAGCAGACAGGAGCCTTCTCCATCTGACCAGTGGTTTGTGGTTTCTCTCCCCAGACTGCCAAATTCTGATCAGGTGGTGTTTATCCCTCCTTGGACAGGAGGGATATGCACTCCTTGAACAGGCCTTCATTAGAAGACCTGTTCTGTGATCCCTGGATGCAGGATATTCATCAGCCATAGAAGAAGGGAGAGAGCCATAGGCACACTTTGATGCAGGGACCTGGTAAGTTACAGCTCCA